TTTATTCCGGCATATACAGCTAACTATGCTTTTAATGAGCCTCTGTGTAGAGCCTTGTTCTACTGGAACAAACTTCCATCTCACATGCGGCTGGACCCATGCTCCCCTAGGGAATTAATTAAGAAAACCCTTTACAATTACCTTTCGTCCCTTAGTATTTAGTTTAGTAATAGACAAGTAGCCAGTTAAGGTACCAACTGTTGGCGAAATAAATAAATAAAAGCGCGGAACCGGAAATTCGGGCAGCAGAAAAAGGAAAGCAGGGAAAAAGGAATAATTAATAGAGTGATCCCCTGAACATTGTACTGGGAGTGGAAAGTTTGATACGTAAACATCAGCGAATGTACAATTAATGTGATTACATGCTTGCTCAAAGTTGTTTTAAACAGCATTCGCCAAATATTAATGCGAACGTGGAAATTGCTGCAAAAAGATGGCTCGATGATTTATGTAAAAATTATTTGAAAGCTCGTTGAGTTTCCTGCCTTGAAATTCGTAATAGGATTAAGTTTTCTTTTTTTGAACGTTCCATCTATCATTTTTAATTAATTGGGTCCATCTGGAACATATGTCCATACGCAAGGCATAAATTTCTGCAAAAGGCTTGACCACAACCAACGGTACCTAAGTTGCGCGAAATCATTACCTTCATTTACATGAATACCCATAATAATTTAACTCGCCGCACTCTACTTTAAAATACCACGCAAAAAGTGACTAAAATTGACAGTGAGTGACAGTGACAACAATTTAAGGGTGGAGAGGACAACAACAACACAAGACTAGTGTGTATAGGAGGTAGCATTGATTCGATTCATTGATTCCTTAATTTCTTCGATCTTCGAGATACCGTTATGGCGATGAAATTATAGAAATACAATTTACAGTCGATTTGCAAAGTAAATAAGTTAAAAACTTTACGAAACTGTTAAAGCTGTGAGTGAATTTTCCCCTCATGGGCTACCAAAATGTTTTAACGTCCCGTACCATATCGTCAAAGTTGAGCAGAAATCGTCTGCGGCAGTTTTTTGTACGCTTTGAATTTAAAAGTCAGGGTCAATTTAAAACTTACATCAGTTGTATTGAATTACACACATTTAACTTAGATTAAAAACTAACAATAGAAACCGCGACCAGCGGTCTTCAAGGCGTGTATCTTCTTTTTTTGCAGCCAACGCAAGCACAGATAGACTTACATTCAACAAGGAAGTCGCCTTAATCCGATTCATTTTACATTATTTATAATTGATCTTCCTCTAGTCTTAAGAACTTGTCGTTAAGTTGTGCCTGCAATTAAAAGCCCTCCACATAGCTTAGCTGACCATTTTTCGTGTAAGCCCTCACAACACCATTTATTCCCTTGGTGGTTGTGTACTAGACAGAATAGCGCATTTTGACGAATTTTGTGTCACGAAAAAAGAGCGTTTTATTTCTGGAGCTGTGTAAGGTTTAGGCAGTTAAATTTTCCAATGTCACAATAAACACCTTCTAAATATTAAACGTATTTAAATATAAAATCTAAAATTAAAAGTTTATATAAAATTAGACCAGCATCTGTCAATATGATACTCCACAAATGCATACAATCAATCATGGGGCAGTAAACTACCACAACGTTGTTAACATCGTTAGCCTTATTGTCATTTACTTGACTAATTTGGGAACGCAACCAGCCTATATTGAATGAATGAAGTATATAAACAAGGGAGAACGCTATAGTCGAGTACCTCGACTATCAGATACCCGTTACTCAGCTAAATGGAGATATGCAAGCAGCAAAGCGAGATTAAAATGCGCCACCTACCGGCGGTATACAGATTTAAGCGTTATGGGCGTTAGAGTGGGCGTGGCAAATTTTTTTTGGATCAATCGATAGGTATTGACGAGACCAATACATTTCAGTTAAAATTTTTTATCTAGCATGAAAATTGTGGGCGTCACAGTGTTTTGCGGTTTGTGGGCGTTAAAGTGGGCGTGGCAAACTTTTTTTGGGTCAATCGATAGGTATTGATGAGAACATTACATTTCAGTTAAAATTGTCTATCTAGCATCAAAACTGTAGGAGCCACAGTTTTGGGCGGTTTGTGGGCGTTAGAGTGGGCGTGGCAGTCTACTGAAACAAACTTGCGCTGCGTAAGAAGCTCAGGAATCTGTACGTCAAATCTCAATAGCCTAGCTCTCATAGTATCCGAGATCTCAGCGTTCATCCGGACAGACGGACAGACGGACATGGCTAGATCGACTCGGCTAGTGATCCTGATCAAGAATATATATACTTTATGGGGTCGGAAACGCTTCCTTCTGCCTGTTACATACTTTCCGACGAATCTAGTATACCCTTTTACTCTACGAGTAACGGGTATAATAAATATATTTACAAATGAGACGAATACAATAAAAATTTTTATTAAAATTATTTCGAGATGAACTTGCCCTAACTAACCCTAAGAGTGTATCAAATCACTAGTCGATCTGCCACAAACCGCCCGGAACTATGGCTTCTAAAGTTTCAATTTTAGAAAAAAAATTTAACTGAAATGTATTGCTCTCGTGAATACCTATCAATTGACCCATTAGCATCCATTTATAGCATCCAAGCTGTGAGCGCCACATTTTGAGCGGCTTGTCGGTGTTGAAGTGGGCATGGCAATTTGCTGAAATAGTGCAATAATCTCTTATTTAACTCATAGAACAGCTTTTGGCGGTTTTTGGGCGGGTTCAACAAGATATTGCAAAAATATTAGACAATTTAATAGACAATAGACATAACTACATTATTTGAAGTCCGATCACCAAAACTTAGATGTTCTAGGAAACCGTTGGGTAACTGGATTTTGTTTTTCACGAATATCTCCAGAACCATCCTTTAGAATATTTATTTAATGACACCAGCGTGTGCTGAGAGCCATAATAATTCAATTAAGTCTTTAAGGCTTAACTCCATAAATGTTGATTACGTAAACTAGTGTAACCCATTACTTGCGTTTTAAATTATTCATTTATTTGTATTGGTCAAATGTCGCTTCTGCGCTGGCATCGGTAGTTTATGCCGCGTCAATAAAACTGCATTGGACTTTTATTTTAAATACAATTTGAGCCAGACTATGATAGTCGAGGCACTCAAATTTAGCGTTTCTATTTGTTATACCCGTAGCTCGCAGTGAAAAGGAGTGTATTGCATTCGGGGGAGAAGTATTGCTCTTGTCAATACCTATAAAGTATCAACCGCCCAAAATCCATATATCCGTCCATATGAAAGCTGATATCTCAAAACCTACAAAAAAATATACAATGTTTGGATTAAGCATTTATGTTCTAAAGGTTCTTGCGTAGCGCATGTTTATTTCAGCAAAGTGCCACGCACTCTAACGCCCACTAACCTTCCAAAACTTTGGCGACCGCAGGGTGCAAGTTTATGACACATTATTTAGGGGCTCTTACCCAATTTATAAACAACTTTGAGCCGAGAGCTAATTTCCAAATAACTCTGACAGACCCGAAACAAATCCGTGATCAGCTATTTCTGTCAAGCAGGCTTCCAAATCATTCCCACCCAGATCAATTTCACGCAGTCCGAATCAAACGAATGCTGTAAACATCCAAACCGATATTGTAAACAGTCGGAGTCCCAAGCGAGCCCTGAGTCCGCTAACGTAAACAAAAGATCCCCAAAGCGAGCCCCGAGTCCGCTAGCGTAAACAAAAAGATTCCCAAAGCGGTCCCTAAACTCCGCTAATGTAAACACCAATTTCCGGCCAAGATTGGACTTCGAATTTAATTGGCAAATTGCATCATCCTATTTTCCGACTCTCTTGAGTCATTCTCTTCATCAATTTTTTGGGATAAGATCTCTTAAGCCGAGGTTTGATTATTGATCATTGAACTAGAGAGCAGGCAGTCCGTTTTTAAGATCCAAATCGAGCAGTAGAACAATTCGAAAAAAGTACAAAAGCAGTGAATTAAATAAGTTCGACCTATTGAAAAATTGTAATAGTGAGTGAGTGATTGTTAAAAATAAAAATAAATTTTTTTTAATCAATTCACTAGTGAAAAACCTTATTTGCATGCTAGAATAAACAAGAAAGAAATCTAAAGTCGACGGTCTCGACTATTAGATATCCATTACACAGCTAAAGGTAGTGCTAAGGCGATGGAGATAAGCATGCAGCAAAATAACACATTTTAATTGCTAATAACTTATTAATGAACTGTCCGACTTAATAAATTTTTATGTACATGTTTTTTTTGTGAAGTTTCCACGAACGATTTCAAGATTTCTATGATAATTGGGAGCTCATGAGTAAAAGTCCCAAACATACTTATTTTCCATCACCAACAGGTTCCGCGGTATAGATAAAAACACAAAAATACCATGTTTGCTTATAATTGAATTATGTGGCCAACATAGTTCGACTTATCTAAAATATTTTCGCTGAAACACACTCCCAATACATGACTGCGCTCGCATTCTATAGGTTGTCATGACACTTTTTACATTTGGCAACATATAGGAAAATATATAAAAACTAAAAATCGATTATATTGCTATAACAAATCCAAAAAAATATCGTCATGGAATCGCTCTTAACCGAAATTAAAGCATACAGTGGACAATAGATTCTAGGTAATGGAACACAAGTTTGTAAAGGAATTTTACTCAGGAGGATCCATTGATTATGGGCGCTAGCGCTATAGGCGTTAGAGATTACGTGGGACACTGCTGAAATAGCTTTTCCGAGTTCTCAGCGTTCATACGGACGGACAGACAGACAGACGAACATAATTAGATAAAATCGGCTAGTGATCCTTATCAAGAATATAAACTTTATGGCGTCGGGAACGCTTTCATCTATATCTTACATACTTCCCGACGAATTTTGTATACCATTTTACTTTACGAGTAACGGGTTTAAGAACTGCACACGTAGCTTTGTTATTTCCAGCAAAATATTAGGACACCTTAATGATTATTACATGAGTGAATGCGAGTACGAACTTACCACGGCTTCGTATTTTGAAGGACATCTATTAAGGACTGCAGCTGGTGCCGAAAAGTATCGCTTACAGTACACTTAGACTTGGATGATCCTCGAGAATAACTTGAACTTATATACTGATGATCCTTAAAATAGAATGTAGTATAACATTTTAATAGAAATTAATAAAAATACTCAATACTGCAGAATAATGCTAAATAAAGTAAGTCCGCTTAAGGACGCTTTTATCCTGATCAAGGTATGCTTAAAAAAGTATTTATGTAAAAGGCTTTTACACTGCGCGAAATATCTTCAATTTTGGCAATTTATACCCAAACGATCCTATGGGAGCTATTGAATGTAGTCGACCGATTGGGTCGGGCTTAAAACTTGATATATGTACGTGCACATATTTAATGACGATGGCGAATGCTTTAACCCGATGGCTCTTAAACTGAGCTCGCAAGCGGTATTGAAACAGACGTACAGACTTACATACGGACGTTGTCGCTACTATTATGTTGACTGGAGCTATATGTCTATGACTATAAACATAAATATTCGTTCAATTATAAATCCCTTGAAAAAATCCTAAAATTATTTTAAGTATGATGTTTTAAAAATAATGTGTGGTACTTTTCAAATGGTTTGATGAACTAAAAAACCAAGAATCCATTCGTCTGAAATTGCAGTTTAGGTGTAGCATAAAAACGCTTTTCTTCCACATGATTTTTTCTCAGAATCCTTGAATAGGAGAACTTTTTGGTGAACACAATTGAAAATGGGGATTTCAAACGAATATTAATTTTCAGCAACCATCGATGTAAGTTAGAAGCGTAAAATTTTGTAACACTGAAATTAACGCGCTAAGGCTTGCAATGAAAAAATCTACGCAGTAGATGAGTACCCAGTACCTGTGATCGAATTTTGACAACACGAGGAGGAGATCCTTGCGAAAATGGCGTGGGTGTTTTTGACGAGAGAAAAGAAAGACGACTACTGAAGCCATAAGAGATCTTTGAGACAACAAAAGTTTCCATGTGCCAAAAAAAAGCTGAAACTATTGGCAAAGGGTGCATTTTGCTAGAAGTTGTCAACGAAGACGAACAGTGCGCGATGACGGCATCGTAAAAGAGTATAGAAAAGTGAAGAGGAATTGGCAAAAATCAGTCGTCAAGCACTTGTGGGTGACAGCAAAATCCAATAGGGTGTGCTGAGCGACAATTTCACATACTAATTTTTTTATGTGTTTTGGGATCACACAATTTGTTTACGTCAATAATAATATTACATTTTAGTACTAAGATTTTTATACAAGTCAACTACCGTTTGTAAACAGCTTAAACGCATTACCATGGACGTTAGAGCTATCCTCGATATGACAGTACCTCTACTAAGGGCAAAGTAATTCGCACTAGGTTTGAATACAGGTGGGAAAAAAGGTGCATTGCAGGATCTGTTTTTCAATCAATACGGGTTAGATGTAGCTGGCGATGAGGGGATTCAGCCTAGTAGCACAATTTTTTGGCTGTCTGCACTCGACTACGTTGCTAACTCAGCAAAAAAATGCTTTAAAGGAAAAATTGGGAGCAAAGTCAACAATGCATTTTTAAATAGTGCAACATCCAATAGGGAACTTGGGGATGTTATATTAACTTACGAGAATATTCATTTCACTAAGCCTAGGCCTTAGAAAATTAAGTTTGAGTCTGTCGATTGCGAAAATTTGGCAGATTATGTCGTGTCATTCATAGAGTGCGAAAGCGGTAAGGTTTGGATGAAAACATTTGTTCCTTTAACTTTTTTATTATAAACTCGTATAATAAATTTTACAGGAAATAAACATATATATAAGCATACATTTAAAAAAATAGCGCATCATAAATTTGAGCGCGATTTATACTGATTTCGGATAGTATTCATTGGGCTTGTTTTAAGAATGAGTATGTTGCGCGAATTAAGAATAAATCGTTTTTAAAACACAAATTATACGAAAAAGTGCTTTGTTTAATATTCAATAAACAGGACCAAACAAATACGATTTCTGCTTAACCAATGTATAATATATTCTGACAAAAAAATGTTTCTTGGTAATGTGATCACTAAAAGTACTTAATTTTAGAATATTAGGCTTTAGTATTATCAAAATAGTAATTAGTAATTATTCTCACTAGTACCAAAAAACTTCAAGAATAAATGGTATATCAACAAGTACAGTTTGTGCTTAAAGCCTAGTACTCAGATCGGCTAAGAGTTTCACTAGTCGAAAAATCTTATTCTTTGTAGTGTGACCGAAGTTTTCAAAGTTCACCCGCAATGCGTGTGGCATGGTCTTACAAGCAGCTGTGCTTGTTGCCAAACGGAAAACAAATCAAGTGGAGCAATTTAAAAAAGAAGAGTCTGCTGGTGCATAAAGAAATTAAAATAAAAATAAATGAAATGTTCAACGAATGTTTATATTTATGTAAATTAGAAGTTTAAGGCTTCCTTCTCGTCCCACGGATGCTTCGCTATCTTTCCCGCGCCATCTGCAGTCCAGCTCCGGATCCCAACAGGCTCCTCCCTCTCCGCTTTAGCTGTCAAGTAGCTGGTGGAGGTGGAGTCCTCAATGGAGAGCTCGTCGGAGATCGAACGATGTTCCTTCCCACTGGCATTCTATCGTGGATCTCCTCCAGCGCTTCGACTGTTCTGCACATTTGGCCCGTTGTAGTGTTGCTTCCTGTCGGTTAAGTCCCACCACAATGGGCAACAGCTTGAATTATACGTCCTTTTTAATCTGTACTAACCTCCATAAGCCGTTTTTGGGGTTTTTATTCCATTTTTAATTTTTACATTCCCTACCGCTTCTGCACGAACGCCGCCAAAGATTAAATTTCTTATTCTTTGGGCCGCGGCTAACGGCGTTCATCGAAAATTCATTCGCGAAATCTGGTATTTTTTCTGGTATTTCCTTAGCTTTTCTGAGTACCGCGCTAAAAAACAGACCCAGAATCCTGTTTGCCTCTCGCTCACTCCTATGGTTAGCTCGTGGTTTTCGTCGATGTGAGTACTAGGCTTAAATCAATAACAGAACGCACTTCTTATGTTTGCTAATGAATATGCTGCGCGTTCTTGAATCCAGAATAAATCATTCTTAAAACCCAATCTATCCGAAAATATTCTTGATTCAAGAACATTATTCAATTAGCACCACAAATCAAGTACAATTTGTCCTAAACGCAATTAAAATACATGGTGAAAAAATGTTTCTTGATAAGCACGAGCATTCTTAAATTGATTACTAAAAGTACATATTTTCAGAAAAATCAGGTTTATGTATCCTTAAAATAAGAATAAATTATTCTCATTAGTAGTAAAAAAATTCAGAAATAAAAAGTTTACAGCTTGTGCTTAAGTCAAAAAATAGAACGCACCTTTTATGTTTGCTAAAAAAGAACAAATGTTGCTATATTTAAAAATAAAGTATACCAAAATATAATAAAAATATTTTCCATTTCGATCGCAAACATTAAAAAATGTTATAAAACATTCAATTTTGATCTGATCGCGTAGTGTCAAAGTTATGTGAAAAAGGGTGCAAAAAGTGACGCGAAGCTCGAAGAGTTTTTAAGAGAATATGAACTGGAAGATGTTTGCGGGTACCTCGAAAGAAAGTAATAATAATGCGATATACAATGTGTTATAAATGTGAATTGAAGTGAAGTAATAATTATGCACTTGGTATTCCTGCGAAAAGCACAGCACGTGGTTTTTTTTACTGCATATACATATTTATGGACTTACATATGTGTGTGTGTACATTTTAAAGTGATATGAGGGAAGTTCGACTGCTCGCTTTCTTAAATCTTATATGTACAATGCACATGTAGATATGTACACCATTCATCAACCACGCGTATTTGTGGAATTTTGTTAGGAAAAAACCGCTTCCCAGTCGTAAGTTGCGGAACGTGTTTTAAAAAAACATTGTTTTGGGTCGTACTGTTTTTACGCAAAACAGCACGCATGCAAATTTTCCAAGGCAAATGTGCGTGCTGGGTGCATTCTATTGCGGTGCCTTCTAGAAGTTTTTCAGAATAATGCATCCAGAAGCATGCCCAAACACCCGTTTCGGGAACGTGTTCCGAAAGAAATAGTTCTGGGTCGTATCTTTTTTACGCAAAACAGCACGTATGCAAATTTACCCAGCAAAATGTGCGTGCTGGGGGCAGTCTTTTAGGTGCCATCTGGGTGTATTTCAATATAGTGCATCCAGTTGCATTTTAGTGGGAATGTAAAAGAACCAAACTCAAACCCGAAGGTTGCCGATGCCCATTTTTTTACAATCGTCTTTTTTCGGAACTGTTCTCTTGACAAACAAATAATAAAGACAAAAGGGAACATGCAAGGAAGCGAGCGGTTTTTCTTGCCTCTTGCATTTCTCGTCAGTTGCATTTTTAGTTCTGAAAAGTGAAGTTCGTGCCACGTGTTTTGAAAAAGTTTGTTGCTTTCTGCCACCAATTTTACATCAATATTTTCACAGGTAAGTAAAGTGTAGATAATTTAGTTCAATATGAACACAATAAAATAACACAGTACATGTACACTGAACATTCAAACTAAAAATATATTAAACAAATAAAATAATAACTATTTTTATGTAAATTGTACATACAAAATAAACATATTTAGGGTATTCAATTGCGTTGCAAAAGTGTAAACTTTGTAAGTTTGCCAGACGAGAATTTTGAACGCCCTCTATTTTAAAACATCGTTGCAGGAAATTGACGTACAAAATAACGCAAACTTTTAAATTTTTGTGAAAAGAAGGCTATGATATTTTCTGTCATTAAAACCCAACTTTTCAGTATATTTTTAGTATTTTAGATAAAATTCCTACCCATTATTAACCCCCTATTTCTACACAAGTACAACAGATTTGTATACATAGGCTGGGGTGTTGTAGGCCTTGAAAACTATTTTGTATGGAAATTGTTGTTGGAACTGCTTACCTTACACTTTTCAAACGATTGCAACGCAATTGAATACCCTAATTGTATATTTGTAATGTATATACACATATTTAAAAATATATAATATTCAATTTGCTTTATATTTTTCAGAATCGCAAAAAATGAATGGGCACACCAAGGACTGAACTGCGTAA